TGTCCCCGTGAGGTGGGTGACACACTGGCCAAGGTTGCCCAGGGAGGCTGCGGCTGCCCCAACCCTGGCAGTGTTCACAGCTAGGTTGGCTGAAGCCTTGAGCAACCTGCTCTGGTGGGAGGTGTCCAGGGCAGGGGTTGGGGCTGGATGATCTCTTAGCTCCATTCCAACCCCTTAACACTATGATCCTGTGATAAGCTGAGACAGGGAAGATTCAGATATTAGAAAAACTTTCTTCACTGTGAGGGTGTTCAGCACTGGGATATTGCCCAGGGAGGTGGTGGAGTCACCAACCCCGGAGGGGTTTCAGAGGTGTCTGGATGTGGCACTGGAGGATCTGGTTTAGAGTTTAGTGGTTCCAGCAGTGACAGGTTAATGGTTGGACTCACTGATCTTAGAGGTCTCCTCCAACCTTGATGTTTCTGTGATTCTATCCTATGGCTAACCAAAGAGGCCAGAGCATATCTGTCCCTCCCCTGCTCCCTGCTGCAGTCACTGCACTGCTGGTAGATCTGGAAGTCTTGGATTAACTTCAGGCAAGCAGCAATTAAAGAGGAGTGCCAAGCTCTCACCCAAGCTCTCACTCCCACAGTCACACCTCGAGTGGCCTTGAGTGGGGATGAGTGACACAGCTCTCCAGCTCCTCACCCAACATCATTTGACTCACCAAAGACACTGATGGCACCTAAACTGAATTGTACAGCTTTTCCATAGCCTCTCCTTGGACCCAGTTGTATTTGTTGCCTCCCATGGGAAGCTCCATGGAGCAAAGATCATCCCTTGGGCACATGGGGTTTAGACACAGGCCCAGCTGTCAGCACTTAGGAGCACAGTTCTCCATGGCTCTTGATGCTACCAAAGTCAAGATGAATCAGGTTTATTTATGGTCTTTGTATCTGGGGTCTCATATACTGTCCACATAGTTGTCACTAAGTTCGGGACATCTTGGTTGTAGTGACTATGTCAAAAAGGACAACACAGTGATGGATTTGGGGGTTGACCTTTTCCTTTCCTTTCTTGTGTGCCAGACGCCTTTCTAAGTGAAATCATGGAGTCACAGAATCATTGAGGTTGGAAAAGAACTCCAAACCATCAAGTCCAACCTGTGACCCATCAGACCTTCTCAGCTAGCCCAGAGCACTGAGTGCCACATCCTGTGCTCCTTGGACACCTCCAGGGATGGTGACTCCACCACCTCCCTGGGCAGCACATCCCAGTGCCTGACAGCCCTTTCCATGGGGATATTCCTCCCGATGGCCAACCTGAACCTCCCCTGGAACAACTAGACACTATGTCCTCTCCTTCTGTTTTATAGGACAGTTAAATTCTGCTGTGCTTTGACATCTC